TCCGATATCCAGACAGGGGTGTCCTGTGTATGTCCCTAAGATGTAATTGTCACTGGGTAGGGTTCAGTGACAGGAAAGTTGCTGATGCCTTGCAGGAGTATATTAAAACTTCAAAAAGATTTAGACCATAGAACATATCATTACTCCTCAATTACATTTTTTCCTAATTTCTTTACTCATTCATATATTCTTGTTACTGACACCATCTGCTTCATTTTCTGTATCCTTTATTTTTAATTGTCCATTTCTCATATTTAATATTTGCCCTTTTTCTCAATAGTTAAAAAAATGTGAGCTACAAATGAACAGTATTTCATCAGAATTACTCGATTTTTGGTTAATCCCCCAGTGTGGTTGTGTGTTACAGTTTCCAGGCACTTCCTTCCTTCGGGCCTAGTGTAGCACAGTTCCGGGCTCCAAGACGAGTGAGATGTTCTGCCGGGCGAGACGAGTGTGAGTACAGAAGACCACAGAGCCGGGCGAGGTCCACGGTGGCTGATGTGCCAAGGCTCCAGGTGACAGCGTTTGGGTGACTCGCTGATCCAAAAGCCGCTGAGTGATGCCTAGCCGTACCAAGTGATGTGCCAGGCAGGGACGTGGGTTGCTGACGCATGAGCATCTGCACACGAGCTGTGCCTGGCAGTGTCCTCGCTGGGGTCACGAATGTCTATTGAGCTGCCACACCGAAGCTGTGGTGAGCAGCATCCCAGCACGGCATAGACATTGTTCGGCTGGATGGAACCCGCACGGGGAACCACCACTACTGGGCAGTGCTCGAGACATTCTCGGGGTCGGGCTGGTCCAGGCATCTCCGAGGCGTCGTTGGACTGCTCCAAAGCCGTGAGCCTCACATCATGGGACTACCACCTGTTCTTTCTCCTGGCGAGCTGCGGTGGACTTTTTGGCAGCATACACCACCGACATCTCTTCATTTCTTTTTTTAGTTTGTTAAATAAATATTTGAAAACGCCTCCCTGTCTGTTCTTGCGCCGCTGCACAACCCCGCACACAACCGAATCGTCCTAAACATCACTGTTTTCTTAACTGCCCCACAGCCTGTATACACTGTTCTTCTTTATTGAATCCCACTTAATGAATATACGTTCTAAGGCAACCCAACCTCGGTTTGAATAGTAAAGTGCTTTCTCTTGAATTATCATAAAACCTTTCTCTACTTATTTCATTTTTGCCCTCTTGGTAGTTACTTAGAGCCGGCTACTTTTTTATCGCTGCCATCCAATAAATCCTCTTTACCTGTCTGACTTTTTGCTTTATGCTCCTTATTGTCATGTCACCCACACTGCCAGCCGTATATTTACTGGTGAGCCGCCTAGTTTCTTTTTCTTCACTTTGTGTCCACGCTCTTCCTATACAAATACCTGAACACCTTCTCTTCCCATCTACTCTCCTTGTTTTCCTAAGCCTCTCTTCTAATCTCATTTTGCTCTGAGCTTCCCTCACTTTAAAGCCTGTCCATCACATATACCTCTTTACAGCCTCATTCGTAATCTTCCCGTGAGCACCCAACGCGAGATGTCCCACAGTCCTTTAATTTACATTCATTCATTGCATGTGATCCAATTTGCATGTGATCATTGAATACCATCAATCCACATTTTGTTGCACTAAAAACTAGTCCTAGAGCCTCGCCTTCCCTTCCACATATATCTACTAGCCGCTGTACATCGTCTTGACTGTTAGCAAATAGGACAATGTCATCTGCATAAGATAGACCTGGAAGCTTCTTCTCAACAATAGTGCCAGCCTGTCTGTGTGACAGATTAAACCCAATGTTGCTACTTTCTAGCAATTTTTCCCTTCTCACCATGTACAGCATGAATAACAGCAAGAACAAAAGACATCCCTGTCTCAGCCCCTTGTTATGTTAACTCTGTAATTGCTACTTACATTCCTTCCCAATCTATGCAAACTCAATTTTCTCGGTATATTTCTATCAAAAGCTGTATAGAGTCGTCACTTATACCCACTTCCATCAATGTTTCCCACAAAATTTCCTGATTAACATTGTGATACGTTCCAGTGATGTCCAGGTGCGCTAGATATAGCGCCTCTTTTCTATTTTAGCTATTTCTATACATTGAGCAAGAACAAACGGGTCATCGTCTAACCACCTGTCAATTGGGAATCTATTATGAAGTTCTCCCAAAATATTATTTTGCTCTGCCCACGTTTCTACCTTTAATTTTACTGCCTGCATCGCTAAGCTGTATAGCACAGATTTAATGGTTTGCAGTTTATACGAGCAAACATAAACCTTTTCTCTCTTGCCTTTATGGATTGAGTTCATTCTATTTTTCTGCCAAGTGTGTGGTATTTTCTTCTCCTGTAAGCACTCTTCTACGAATTTCAGCAGTGCTTCCTTAGTGCTATGTCCTAGTTCATTATTGAGGCGGACGGGAACCCCATCTAAGCCCGTAATAGCGCGCTTAGGAATTTCGCCTCTGGCTTTCTTCCATTTGAAATTCTCAAGTGCTTCTGAAATTGCACTCTTAGTTGCACTCGTTTTCATACTGTTACTCACCGGGGAAATCCACCGGGCAACCTTTTTTTAATGAATTGGCTGTTACCCTTCGGTTATAACCTAGTGCTTCGTACCCTTCTAATTTATTTCCTCTTTCATCTACCATATGTTGTTGCATTGTGACAGACTTCCTACCTAGCGCTTCTAGGTGGCTTCAAAATATTCTAGACTTGGCCTTCTTCTTTTTGTGAATTTCTGTCATTCAGCATTCACTTTCACTTCTAATTTCAGCCTCGACCATCTTTTGCATAATGTTTTTTTTTTCTATACATGTATTTCCCATATTTCGTTGACCTCATCCTTTGGCCGCTTCTCTCTTCTTGCCTGCCAGTGCTCCAGTAATGCCTCACGTCGCTTCTCGATCGCTTCCCGAATTTCTCTGTTCCACCAACTTTTTGGCTTTCTCTTTGCTTCCCAGCAAGTAGTTTTTTTCTCTTTTTCCATCTCCCTCGTCATTACATGTAACAGCTCACTAGCCTTTGCCCGATAGTTTTCCTACTTTGTCCTCGACTCCTGCGGCTATATTTGTCATTTGTGTGCTGTTCAAATATGAGCTTCAGAACTTTGATTCCATGTTCTGAGTTTCAGTTTTATATCCCATTTGTAATGTTATGCATTTATGATCACTACCCAAGCTGGTAATGCCTTCCTCGTCTATTCTCATCTCTCTAAGTTTGCCATTGATTCCCTCTGTCATAACACATTAATCATTGCTTGATTGCCTGTGTCCAGCTGCCCACGTGATCTGCCCCTCACACTTGAGCCGAACGTTACTTATCTCAAGATTATGTTGCTCACACAACAAATTCTTCAATATCCCGCGCCTATGCAATTCCCTATCTCCAAATTCTTTTCCTTGCTGTTTTCCCCGCCCACAAGTAAGCTACACCTAACCAAACTTTCTTTCTCCCTACTGTGCTCGAAACCAGGATGTGGTCTTAGTATGTTGGCTTCACTCTATCCCATTTGGCTTTGCTATGAATTAGCATTCAAACACTCCCACCTTTCCTTTCTGATATGATCCTGTTGCATCCTTCCAAAGTAAAATTCAAAATCTGTGGTGGCGCTTCCATGTCCCTAAAGTGCGTTTCTGTTACCCCATAAACACCTATCTGTTCCGAAAAGTTAATTAAAGCGTGAAAACTTGACACGATCACTCACACACGCACACACCCATGCATCTCTAACTTTTCGAAATGATCTACCAACTAGCCCAGCAACAAGTTCTCTTAGAATACCTATCTGTTCCTTCTTTTACTGCTCCTCAATCTCTAACCATTAAGCCTTTTTATACCGCCCTGCATATTAATGTAACTAGTTGCAACATGCGCCTTCTCTTTTAATTTACCTTTTCATTGGTTTTTCACTATATCACCTGTCGAACAGTCCCCCTGGTTTTTTTTCTCGTTACTAGCTATCGTGGACCCCAAAGGGTCCAGGATAGCTCTGGCTCTGGCTCGGAGCGCCCCCGCCAGATTGCAGCGATAAGTGGAAACATCCTCCTGTGCGCAGGCCCTAAAGGAAGTGAGATCACGCCTCCACACTGGCCATGGTCACACTTCCGAAACTGGACTCATCGAACAATGCTGGACAACAGGGTATACTTTCAACTTTAGTTGTGCGATGATGCTGGCTCGGGAACAAAGGTGGGCCAAGAGAAAACTCTTCGAGTCACGGTTTATCGGCCATAACAACTCGGTGTGCAACAACTATGGCCCCCTACCGAATGTGTACAGCGACATACCATACTAGAACTAGACTGTGCGACCTGCACTTATTTGGTGCCAGTGCATACTGATTACTGAGGAAGCAACAAGTGACGAAAATCCTGTGTAGTTTTTGATATATTTTGTTTTGTTGTGTTAAGTCAAGGTATACTTTTAATGAGCTCACTCGGCTTTTGGAACATTTTTGCATTTAAAAACTCCCATTAGAGATGCCAATAAAAGTAAACTCCACCTGAACAAATGCAATCCCCAAATGACACACAGACACGAAGTGCCAGTCAGAAAAAAAAAAGTGCAGCACGAGCAAGGCATAAATGAAAACCTCTAACAATGAACTGTTACTATGCTAGAGCATCATTACCCTTTCTAAAAATCTTGTCCATTGGCATACAAGCTGAACAGCTTACTGGCACTTGCAGGTGCAACACCTGCAGGGCAGATTGACGAGCCAAAAAAAAGTGCGCGCTGTCCCACTTTAGAGCGAGCACAGCCGACGCGTTGGTAGAAACCGATATGTGACAGTATAAAACTACTTTTACTACTCCTGCATGCGCTGCAAGCTCACAAAACTTGGATGCAGAGTTCAAAACATGCATCATTCAACAGGTCTGTACACGCTCTAGAATTTTAGAATGTCTGAAAAACACGTAACAAGCACAATCACCCACTTGAGCGACCGCACCGCCCCACGATTACATTGTGTTTTATGTGAAGGCACAAAGTAACCACAGTTAATTTCAAAAATATTTATTTTCTGAAACAACTAAAAACAAAAAACTTCATTTTTAAACGTGAAACAATTATTTTCACGGGCTTTCACTTCCAAGTTCAGTCTTCAGTCACTGCAGGTGTGGCAAAAGGCACTTCTCCAAACTTGTTCCATATCCGATATTCGAACGACTCAACATGATGACCTGCAGCAAATAAGTGTTTCTTTAAAAACTTGACAACAGGCACTATTTCCTGTGTGTGTTATTGAGCAAAGCACACAAACTGCAATGTCTTAGTGAAGTATATATTTTTCTTTAATCTATTGACGACTATGTCAATGTTTGATACATTCCACATTGTTGGGCACCAAACTGGCCAACTAAAAAAGCAGGTAGGCTATTTATTATTCAGACTGATTCAGCTGACTCTAGCAAGGAATTAAAAATATATCGACCCACTTGATGACAGCGCGAGTTTTGACTATTGTGTGGCCACACTAATATTTTTTGTGCATTGCTTTGTCGTTTATTTACATGATATTCCAATCAGAATCTCAATCGTGCGTGGGTGGAGCGGCAGACTCCACCCACACATGGTGCCTCGATATGCACACTCGTAATACTTCGTATATCCCCGTAATGAAGTACAAAACAAACATTTTTGCACAGCAATGTTTCAATCTACAAGGCAATAATAAATAAAGCACAACGCATCAGCGGCAACAGCACCCCCGTCACTAACCACACCGATACACAGTCCTAGGGCGCTGGCTGTCGCCTACGCCGTTCACAGTCACATGCGAACTCTTCTTTTTGACAACACCAATAAGCTTCACACTTGCATACGTCACTACACTTGTGACCCGAAGAACACGCCCTTCTACAAGCCGGCTGCTATGCTTGTGCCACTCTGCCCGCCAGTGCTACCGTTCCACCCGACCTTACCCCAGGCATGGTTCATGTGGCTTGACGTTGTCCTCGCTGTGAATAAGGTCACGGACTTATGCTCGCCATCTTGCTCGACGCGCCGTGGGTCGAGTTTTGTCATCTTGCTGCCAAATCGACCACAAGCCTGCAGTCATATGATGCCCTCTGCACTGCAGTTCTCACCTGCTACGGCAACACGTACCACCTGCTTCTGTTTACCCATGCCTGGCAGGTTTCCCAGCGTCGCAAAGCAAGGTATCAACCGGCCTGCGGGGTTCCTGTGACAGCAACTTCATTTCCACAACTTCTACCTCCGATTGGGTCGCAGGAACATCGAAACCTGCACCTGTCCCCGACGACCGAGGTAGAAGACGCTCTCACTTCGACTGACCTCACAACGACAGGTGCATTCCCACGGAGCCCACGTACGAAGGTTAGTCGTGCGTGCCTGCCACCTGCACGTTTTCCGCAACATCGACGGCATGCGCCACCTCGGCGCCGCCATACTCCACAACGACTACCTTGCAGCATGCCTCGAAGTCTGGCTGCAGACATCCCTTTGTCCACTTTCGCCACACGACTGCGGAGACATCATTGTCCACAGTGCCTGATGATGACCTTGGCAATATGGGCGTCTTGCCAGCAGCCACTACCATCTACCTCAACATCTCTTGCAGCTGAAGTTTCTGCCAGTGACATGCTATGGCAGAACTTCTGCGATGTTGCTACAATGACCGATGACAGGGTCGCAGCTTCGTCGATAGCCGAACACACCGCATCTTCTGTAGTAACCTCGTAGGGAAAAAACCACCAGGCTGCCTCGACAGGCACGTTATCCAACCCTCCGGCAGAGCCCACGCCTTTTGGGTTTCATGACCATCCTCCAAAGTCCTTGAAGGGCAACCGACCCAGCAAGAATGTACTATAATTTAAATGCATGGTGAAAAGCAGTAGCGGCGTCGGGACAGAAGCGGCAAGAGCTAAACAGGGTATACGGGCAGTGTCGCAGCAGCAACCAGGCAGCTCTATCTCGTGCCTCGCGCCAACCTGTCGATGTCGCTGCAGTAGTGGGCATTCTACTTCTCTACAATATGTCCACCGTCGAAAAAGGAGCCATCATGGTGAATCACAGTGAACAGAGCATGAGCGGATTGTAATATGGTTTCAAGTGCTTTACGTGAGCGTTACATGACCCCTGCGTTGTCTGGGGATGGTGTAACGGGTTCAATGATGTAGTTAACAGGTGAACTCTGCGAGACAACGCAGTAAGGTCTCTGGTATTTTGAAACGAGCTTCAAGGAAAGGCCTGTAGGGACACCTGGAACACATAGCCACACAAGGGTGTCCAGAACGAAGTTGAAGTACGGGTGATTATTGTCACCCCGAGATTTTTGTCTCCATCGGTCGATGGTTGTGAATGATTGGGTGAGCTCACGGCCTTCCTCGGTGCAGCGAGCAGCTTTAGAGATGGGAGTTGACTCAGAGGAATCGGAGTAGTAGGGCAAAATGGTACTAGTGAGGTGAAACGGTCGGCCATAAACAGGAAAAATGGCAAAAAGCCCATAGTTGCCTGTGCAGCAGCGTTGTATGCGTACGTAACAAAAGGCAGAATGAGGCCCAAATCGAAAGCTTAAGAAACGCGTTTGTGGGGCCATCTGGACCACATCCTTTTGAGCTATCTAATCTTTGCAACAACACTTGAATGCCATGCGTGCTGATGTTAATATCCTCCATTATATCGGTTCGTATTTGTTTTGGGTGGTGATCACGATCTCTGGGTAACAGACCTGATATAACGATTGAGGCATTCAACATTATCAATGTTGTCATGAAAGGTGTCATCGGCAAAAATAAGCGTTGGTATCAACTCATTTTCTTTACCGTTTATTTTCATGTCTTTCCAGAATTCTTTGAGAAGGGACAGTAAAGATTGAGCGTAATCAATTATTGCTTTAGAGATGCATGTTTAAACAATTGTTGCATTTTTTAGTTTTGCCTTATTAACGACAGTCAGGGTATTACAAAAAGTATGGTAACATCTCAACTGTTTTCGCTTAAGTCTGCGCAGTTCTTTCGTGAACCACCACTTACTTCTCACTTTCTAGCCGTTAAGTGCCACCATGGAACGAGCGCATCTTGTAAGTCGATAATTTTGTTTTTCAAAAAAATTCATAATTCATTGATGTTCATTTGTTTAGTAAGGGTCTCAAACACAACAAAGTAATTATCTAGAGATTTGTTTATTTTTTTAACATTAGCTTTAGAATAATTGTCAAATACAGATGTTTTAACGTAATGTACATTCATTTAACATATCACGGCATCATGATCGCAAATCCTGGGCATGACGTAAATAGCAGTTACAAAACTAGGTTGGTTTGTAAAAAATAAATCAAGGATAACATTTCCACGTGTGGGCTGTAGTACTATTTGATGTAGTGCATGCAGATTGAAAATATTGGATCATCTCTTGGGCTAGATGACCCAGATGACGATATCGTGGTTGAGTGCTGATGATAATGAAGGTTTGCAAGTTAAAATCCCCACCCAATAATTATGAAGTCCAAATGCGCGTCATCAATGGCACTTGGAAGCTGTAACATCAAATCTGTGGAAGAATCAGGTGCGCAATAACAACTACAAACAGTTAATAGCTTCTTATTTGCCAGCTCGAGTTACACCAGACAGGTTCACATGCCCCGACGACAACGTCAAGTTTGGAAGACACTATGTCACTTTTCACTAAAATAAATACACCAGCACCATGACCGTTTCTATCTTTACCGTAGTACGTGTAGTTTGCTGGAAACACGTCGTCATTCACGTATCTTATCATTCAACCAAGATTCAGTTCTGACCACAGATGGCCCGAACATCGCAAAAATGTGCAACATTCCCTCACTTTGTTTTAATGCTTCTGCCCTTGAAAGGAAAGGCTCACTCTTCCAGACTGACAAGGTCATAGCAGTGATAGAACTTCGTGTATCTCTGTGTTGTAATCATATTTTTTACAATTAAGTATCAGTGTGTCATATTTCAGTATGACCTTTTCACTTTACTTTTTATGTGTTTTTGCGTAATTCCACAGTATTTTTCTTCAGAGACACTAACAGTCGAGGCTTTACTAGCGTTATGGAGAAAGTCCTGCTTTTCTTTAAAATACAGAAATTTGGCAATTAACCGTCCATTTCTGCCTACTTGGAATTCAATTGAGACAATGTACATGTTCTATTGTTAAATAATGGATACCCAACTTAGAGCTACATATCTGAGTAATGTGGTTCTCTGATTCTTTACTTGTTTCATTAACTTCGGTATCTGTCACTCCATAAAAGATGAGGCTATGTTGTCGACAACGGTTCTCTAGTTCATCAACTTTTCTGGTCAGTGACTCTATTTCTTCTTTTGGTTTTCCTGCATTCTAATGCAGTCTAATATTGAACCGTTCAGATTGTCAATGTTCGACACTTTTGTTTCCAACGTAGCAATATGACCACCAATCTCTCCGACTGCTATTTGATCTTCTGCCTGCATAACCTAAATAGCAGTAAGCTTTTCTTTAATAGCACTTTGACCATCTAGAAGATGTTGCAATTTTGTGTCTACTGCTGGCCCCGGGTTAAGTTCCACATCTCCGCATCAAAAAAGGGAGTACAAAGTAGAACGAAAGATGCAGTACGAGGCGAATAGCACGCCTCAACCGAACTGTATCATTTGAGTGAGACACAACACAATCAAATAACATTTGGCGTGGAACCAGCAAAATGCACACCCCATAGTTTTGATAGAAAACCTCGCCACTGACCTGCAAGAACAGCAGGAAATGCAGAATGACACTGCAGAAGCCATGCCTATTCCCCGCATTGCTGACTCTGTGAAAACGCCCGCCTTATGTAGTCTGTTGAACTGAACTAATTGGTGACATAAGATCCAATGTTCATATTCTCGGCACTGGACATCTGCTGAAGTTCGTTGAGGCACATACGTTCATTCCTTCTGTATGCTGTTGCAATTTACTGCCAGGTACCATCACTGCTCTATCAATCAGTGCTTCTACCTTTACCCAGCTTTCGCCGGAATGTGATCCTTGATGTTGGTCTATGCATGACAAGCCAACAATCTGCAAGAACAGGAACTGTGTGAATGACATTGCAGAAGCCTTGCCGATTTCACATACTGCTGACTCGGTAGAAATGCCCGCCTTATGTAGTCCACTGAACTGAACCTATTGGTGATGTGAGATCCAATGTTCGTAGTCGAGCACTGGACATCTGCTG